CCCCCCCAAAAAAATAAATAAATGAGTGAAAATATTAAAGGTACTATTATTCCTAGCTAGTTTCGGTTAAATACCCTCATCAAATATTAATTGTGCGTTTTAGCTCCTAATTACGATATAGATGTATTGTAAAAGAGAAGAAATGAGTATTTCAAGGGCACATTTGTTTTTATTAGGGTTTTTTATTGCATGTGGAAGCACAACGATAACATTTACAATGGGTGAAGCAGACACAACCTCAAAGCCTAATGTTCTATCGAATGAGTGCAAGAAAATAATACTAGCAAACATTTTGCGCAACAATGATGACAACAATTATCCCATAAATGTTGAACCCCTCACGTCTCAGTGTTGTTCCCAGTTGAGGGCATTTGAAAAAACTGCTAACTATGATTGGGTATATAATACGGTCTGGTATCATTATTGGAATCTTATTAATGAAGATTGGTTTTATTTGAGTGAGGATGACGTGTGGAATAAATGCCAATCCATATAAATTCATGTATTATCACCCATAAAAATGAAAATGATATCGACTATGGTTTGATGGTATGTTCCAAATTACTCCGGTATGATTTTGCAATGCAATTTTTTACGGATATTATACAATTTAATTATACCCTCAATATCAATTTAGGTTGCCTATTTAATATAAATTATGATTAAAGTCTTGTCACCTCTTTTTTAAAACTTTAAATATAGTTTTTAAATATATAAATTTAATATTTTAAATCCTTTCTATACTTCAAATAAGTTATATTGAACACAACTTCAATCAAACCTCATAAAGAACAGACAATTCTTTTTCTTTTTGGAACGAAGAAAATATATAGGATTAGTACAACTGAATCTGCTGGAAAAAGTCGAAATGTGTGAACAATAGAAAATAGAATTTATAAACTTCAACTTGGTACGTTTAAGAGAGTAATGCTGAAATGGAACTGCAACTCCATTGTTCATTTATCACGAACTCCATTGTTCATTTATGACATGCCAACTTTCAACTACAACCATAAGGATGTGGAGAGTCTGGGATGAATTGCACAAATTTTCCATGAAAGGACCAGTTCGCGAAATGCTTTGTAATCACCAATTTAAACTAATAAATTTAATTAAATAGTAAATGTTGTTTACTTATAATTTAATGAATAAATACTCATTTTTAAACATTACAATTGCAATTTTATAAATTTACCAATGCATTCTATATTGTAATACAAAGTGTTATTTACCTCTTATGCCAAGTCTGCTGCAATAGATGCGTGCGAGCCAGATTGGATAGAATCAGAAATCCTATTGTTGAAGTATTGCTCATAAAAAAAATGAATATTATATGAACTATGGTTTGATGGTATGTTCCAAATTAGTCTCTCCGTCCGCCATAGATCTTCTTAGTTACTATTTATTTGGTCAAATTTAATTTACTGTGTTTGCTTATTTTTACGACTCCTTGCATAAAATAATATTGCCTTATCACTTCTAGTTTTGTAAAATTTTTCATATGTACTTTATTACGATATAAATTTTATTTTTGAATTTTACCGTACAATCAAATAAATTAAATTAAAAATAAAGTCGATCAAGCCTCGTAACACGTAATGAGATCTTTGGTGGACGAGGAAGTATAGTTTTGTAATGCAATCTATTATGGAGTATTATATACGAGTAATTTAAACTCATATCTCAATTTAAGTTGTATATTTATTGTTCACATGGTCAATATTTAACCATGTTCTTGGCCCATTTTCATAATCCCTTTGTAAAATATATTAGTCGTATCCCTTCTTTTTTAAAAAACTTTAAATATAGTTCTTAAATATATAAATTTTATTTTTTAATTTCTCTCTAAAATTCAAAAAAATAGAATGGAAAATAATTTCAATCAAACTCATAAATAAAAGGTAATTCAATTTGGGACAGATGGAGTATATAAGATTTGTACAAATATTTAAATTTCAACAACATAATAGTTAATTTCAACAAGGTACGTTTAAGAGGGTAGTGTTGAAATGGAACTGGAACTCCATTATTCATTTATTGGATTCATGTCTCAACTTTCAACTAGAGTCATAATTTAAGGATGAGAACAGTCTAGGATGAACTGCACAGTTTTTCCATGAAAGTGTCAGTCAATAAACAACTTTGCAAACGCCTATACATTTAAAAATAAATAAATTTAATTAATTAATAAATGTTGTTTAGTTATAATTTAATGAGTAAATACTCGTTTTAAACATCACAATTCCAATTTTATAAATTTATCAATGCATTCTATATTGTTAGGGGATATCAATCCCCCCCAAAAGGAATAAATGAATTCGTTTAAATATCATCAATATATTTGCATATAAGATAACCTTCATTAAAAGTTCGGTTAAATATCCTCTATATAACACCTTCATCGTATATTAATTGTGCGAGCATATATAACGCACATACGACCACCTAAAAATAAAAAAAATGTTTATAAATAAGTTAAGATTGATAAAGGGATTATCAGACAAGAAAAATAAAAGAGAAGAAATGAGTATTTTAAGGGCACATTTGTTTTTATTAGGAATGCTCATTGCATGTGGAAGCACGGCAATAAAATTTGCAAGGTGTGAAGGGGACACATCCTCAAAGCCTAATAATGTCGTATCGGATGAGTGCAAGAAATTAATAATAGCAAACATTTTGCGCTACAATGATGACAATGACTATCCGAAAGAAGTCAAACCCCTCATGCCTCAATGTTGCTCCCAAATGAGGGCATTGGGAAAACCTGGTTATTATGAGTTGGTTTTTACTGCGATCCAGAAATATGATTGGATGCCTACTTATAAAGATTGGGTTTATTTGACTGAAGATGATTTGTGGAATAAATGTCAATCAATGTGAATATTACTCAGAAAAATGAATATTATATGGACTATGGTTTGATGGCGTGTTCCAAATTATGATTTTGTGATAATGCAATCTATAATTATATAATCTATACTCTATGTCACAATTTGAATTGTCCATTTATTGTTTATTTACTATTCACATGATCAAACTTTAGTCACATTCTTTTCCGTAATCCATCTAAGAAAGTACTCCCTCCGTCTGGAAATGTTCTTCCCATTTGACTTTTTACGATCTTCAAGATTGCTTTTTGACCATTAATATCTTTATTTATACATGGATATATTTTATAAAAATTTGATATTTGAAAACTTTATTTCAAAATAAATATATTCATATTAAAATTATATTGTAATACAATATATTTTTTCTACATATCATAGTCAAAGTTTACAAATGTTGACCAAGAAAAAGTCAAATGGGAAGAATATTTTCGGACGGAGGGAGTATTAGTCTCATCATTTCTTTTTTAAATTTTTAAATATACTTTTTAAATACAAATTCTATTTTTTAATTTCTTTCTAAACTTCAAATAAATTGAATTGAAAATAATTAAACCTCATAAATATAAGGAAATTCAATTTGGGATGGATAGAGCATATAAGATTAGTACAACTAAATCTGCTAGAAAGAGCTGAAATACGCGAACAATAAAAAATACTGTAAAATTTAAAAATTCCAACCCTATAATAGTTAATTTCAAGAAGATAAGTTTAAGAGACTAATGTTGAAATGGAACTGAAACTCCATTGTTCATTTATCACATGCCAACTTTCAACTGCAGCCATAAGGATGTGGACTCAATAAATATACAAATCAGAACATTATTATTGCAAAAGCTACCAACTTAGCTTGTTGCAAATTAATTAAAGAAATCAATCAAATATATAATTACTCTCTATTATGCATATTGGGTAAGCTATGATGACATTATGATTTGCAATATATACTAACCTTGCTTGATTTTAATATGTAGGGATGAAGAATTCTTGGCAGGTACACAACCCGCATAATAAGATATCTAAATTAGACCAAAATTAAAATATTAAATACTGCATATGCGCTTGATATATTTTTATGATTTGGTTTTGGCATTAAAATATTTAATGCCAAATATTCTATAATTAGTATCTTCTAATTTTTAAATTTGAAAAATGAGATTTATCCTTCGGGGTTTGGAAATTTGGCACCAATACCCCCTCTGGTTTCAAAACTTATTTCTAAAGCCTCTCTGGTTTCAAAATGTTGCACTCACACCCCCTCTGATCATTTTCCAGCCATTTTCTGGACAAGATGGGGCGTTGGTTCATAATTTCTAAATCATAAGGGGCATTCGTACTTATATCTTATTTTCATTTATTATTTGTGTTTTCCCTTTTTTTAAATATTTTCTATCTATTTTTCTTTTTCCTAGAATTTTTTTAAAAATATATTTTCAATTTTTTCTAATGGTTTAAAACATTTTAAAATCCTGTGTTTGAAATAAAAATAAAAAATTAACATACATTACATCTATCTCAAATTAAACAGTTTCACTTTTTGTTACTTAGAATAATTTTTTGGAAAGTTAAAAAACCCAGAATAAAAAAATAAAAATATGGAAAAACAAAATGAAAAAATTAAAATACGCAAAAAAGTCTTATACAAAAATAAAATTGGGTACGCCTAAAAAAGTCCTTAAATTTGAGATGTCCAAAAAGGATATTCATTTTTATTTATGTATTATTTTTTTATTATTTTATTCCTCATTTTTTTGAAGTTCTCAAAAAAATTACTTTTTTTCAGAAAAAACAAAAATTGTTAATTTGAGACGTACATATGCATTATATGTTAATTTTTTCAAACAAAAATAACTTTAAATTTTAAGAACATTCTAAAAATAATTTAAAAAACCTTTATTAATAAATGAAACAAAAAAGGAAAAAATTGAAAAAAACAAAAAATAAGCAAGAAATAAAAATTAGCACTGATACCCCCTATGGTTTAAAAAATATGCACTAATGCCCCCTTCTTCGCCGGAAAATGGCCAGAAAATAATTAGAGGGGGCACGGGTTCAGCATTTTGAAACCACAGAGACTTTAGAAATAAGTTTTGAAAAGAGAAGAGGTATTGATGCCTGTTTTGCAAACTACGAGGGATACCAGCGCTATGCGGCTTTTTTTAGATTCAGTTAAACATTTAAAAATTTACGAGTACATAGAAGTTGATTAGGTTTAGTTATTAACATTGCTAGATATATCGGACATTTTAGACCAAAGACTCAAGTTTTTGAAAAAAATACCCTAAATAGGTATAAAATATAGATAAAGTATTAAAAGAAGAGTTCTATGTTTTTATAATTTTATCCTCTAAATTAGAGTTCCCATAGTAGTAATGTGGCACTGGGACATATGCATATTACTATATTTTTTGGTAATGTATATGATCATGATTGATAATGTAAATACATTCTAAGTCTTATTTCGAGAATGAAAACATATAACTCTTATTTTGATATATTTTCAATGTTTTACTCCTATTTTAGTCTTTTCCCATTTCTGAAGCTCGTCATTTAAATAAACTACACAAGATTCTCACATGTCCTTTGTGTTCCAATGAGATTTAATCTCATGTGTTGGATTCCTTTACACTATTTTTGGTTCAAGAAAATTGAAAGGAAAAGTAAGAAAATAAGAGGAAAAACTGTTTTTCATGTTTGGTTAGAGAGTAAAAAAAAAGTGAAAAGAAAAGAAGTTGGGAAAGCAAAATGTACTAAGGGGAGAAGGGAAGAGAGACTCAAATTGTTTCCAACTCAGTAAGAAGAGAAACGAGAGAAAAATCATTTTATTTATCTATTTTTGTTTCCAAAATGTTTGAACAAAATATTTCAAAACAAGTTAACCCTCAATGAATGTTCGGTTAAACTTCGTCTTTTAATTGTGCGTTTTAGTTCTATCTATAGAGATGTATATGTAGCTTAACATCACACACATACATGTCCATGTGCAAGAGATACATTCATATTCATATATAACGCACTTACGCACATACATCCACCTAAAACATATTAAGAAAATGTTTATAAATAAGATAAGATTTAGAGAGGGATTATCGGACCAGAAAAATAAAAAAAAGAAGAAATGAGTATTTCAAGAGCACATCTGTTTTTATTAGGGTTGCTCATTGCATGTGGGAGCACGGCGATAACATTTGCAAGGGGTGAAGGGGACACATCCTCAAAGCCTAATAATGTTATATCGGATGAGTGCAAGAAAATAATACTAGCAAACGTTTTGTGCTACGATGAAGACAAGTATTCTATGAGAAAAGTCCAACCCCTCACCTCTCAGTGTTGCTCCCAATTAAGGGTATTTGGACAAACTGCTTACTATGATTGGGTATATAATACAGTCTGGAATGAAGATTGGAAACTTATTAGTGAAGATTGGTTTTATTTGAGTGAGGAAGACGTGTGGAATAAATGCCAATCTATATAAACTCATGTATTATTACCCAGAAAAAATGAATATGATGATATAGACTATGTTATGATTTTGTAATGCAATCTTTTACAGATATTATACGAGTATAATTTATACCCATAAATTATGATTGAAGTCTTGTCACCTTTTTTTAGAACTTTAATATAGTTTTTAAATAGATAAATTTAATTTTTTTAATTCCTTTCAAAACATCAAATAAGTTAAATTGAATATAACTTCAATCAAACCTCATTAGCAACAAACAATATTTTTGAAATGAAGGGATGATATAAGATTAGTAAAATTGAGTCTGCTAGAAAAAGTTAAAATGTGTGAACAATAAAAAATTAAGTTTATAAATTTCAACCCCATAATAATTAATTTCAACAAGGTACGTTTAAGAGAGTAATGTTGAAGTGGAACTGGAACTCCATTGTTCACTTATCACATGGCAACTTTCAAATACAGCCATAAAGATGTGGACAGTCTGGGATGAATTGCACAGTTTTCCCATGAAAGTACCAATCTGCAAACTGCTTTGCAATAGCCTATATATTAAACCAATAAATTTCATTAATTAGTAAATGTTGTTTAAATATAATTTAATGTATAAAGACTCGTTTTAAACATTACAATTCCAATTTTATAAATATATCAATGCATTCTATATGGCAATACAATTGGTATATCAATGCCCCCAAAAATAAATAAATGAGTGAAAATAGTATTAATGGTACTCTTATTCCTTGTTTTGTGATGTTAATCTTAAATCTTGATTACTTTTTTTTTTAAATGACCTGTAAATAGAATTAAAGTGTTATTTACCTCTTTTGTACCAGATTCGGCAGGGTTATGCCAAGTCTCCGGCAATAGATGCGTGTGACCAAGATTGGATAGAATCAGGAATCCTATTGCTGAAATATTGCTTTGTTTTGGCAATACATCCATTAGTTCCATCCTTACATCTGCAATCATGAGAAAGAAAGCAACTAAATTGTGGGCTATAAGCTTTCAAAATATATATATATATATATATATATATATATATTTATATTGAAAATAGTTAGTCAATAAATATGAAAATCAGAACATTATTATTGCAAAAGCTACCAACTTAGCTTGTCGCAAATTAAAGGAATTAATCAAATATATAGTTATGCATATTGGCCAGGTAAGCTATGATGACATTATGATTTGCAATATAAACTAACCTTGCATGATTTTAATCTGTAGGGATGAACAATTCTGGGCAGGTACACAACGCGTATAATAAGTCCATGGAAGCCCCGCAGTATAAGATATCTGAATTAGACAAAAATCAAAATATTAAATACTGCATATACGCACGTACACTTGATAAATGATTCAAAGGCAAGTGTAAATCTGATGACTTACCTCAATATAATCAAATTGAGACTCAATAAAAAACATCGGCGTTTTAATATATTTCTTCACATAGTGCGCAAAGAAGCACTTGTGAAAAAAACGCAGTACATGCAAATTACAAAGTATAGGGTGTTAGCATAAAGCCATATATTTATTACTGCCTTTCTATATAAAGTATGGACATTAATTACTGAAATCAATAAATTGCACTTTCAATATACGAAAATATGCTAATAAACTTGTACCAATGCTGGACTTAATTCTTGGGTACATGATCTCGGCAATGCCTTGCTAGACCGCTGATAACCACAAAGACTTGTATGAATTACCTTGTTGGGTGCAGTGAGTGATATACAAGACAATAAATTAGGAAAAAATAACTAAATTGAAGTTTAGAGATGGTAAGAATACATACATGCATATGGATTAATCCTTGAAAGATGGATAAAAAGTGGCTATGGTTCCCATAGTTGTGCCTCTTCCTGTGAAGGAGTAACCAAACAAGCAATTGTGAGGAGTATATACTCTGTAGTAAACATTTTTTTAGGGGAACGATATCCAAACATTATTTTAATTAGAACAAGAGGATTAATTAAGAAAAAGCGTACGCAGGAAAAAGAAATATCCTGCATCACAGAGGCACTTCACTCGAGTAGAGTTTGGAAAGAGAGCTCGAAATTTGTCGTAGTGAAGCATTGTAGCAACGCCACCCGCTGACTCCCCGGCTAGAAGAGCCTATACCCAGCATTCCACATAATAATAATAATAATAATACTTATTATTATTATTATTATCAATCAAACTATATATATAAAATACACACAAACACATATAGACAAACATATAACAGATGATAAGCTTAAAGTGAGTTTGGCTCTTAATAAGATTATCCTTACATTAGTAGCAGATCCCATTCCCTTTTCCAACAGCTCTTTCGTAACTGCTTTGAAAATCCTTGCCCCACGAAAATAGAGCATCGTATCCTTCAATCCAAGTAAAACCAGCAAAACAAAACTATGAATATTTGTGTAGATTTTTTCAAGGGTGGGGTGGGGGATTTTAATAATATACACATGTATATATGTATGTGCTTACATTTTGAAATTTTTTGGAATTCCCGGTAAAAGAGGATCCATCACAGTATCTTACGTAGATTCTGTTCCAGTTGTAAAAATCTGAAACATCCAACAAATAAAACACAGAGACGAAGTAATTAGTTACGTACTGAGAAAGCAATAATTAGTGCATTAATTATTTCCTCAAACATATTAAGTACTCTGTATGTAGTAATTAAGTACCTGGGTTTTCCAGTTTCTGGCTGCTTAAGATACCCGAAAAAATGTCTGCTGGAGATGGATGGGATGGTGTACCGGTGCCGTGGGACAAATTGTATTCCACGCATGAGGTGAAGTTCTCGCACCAGCCACCTGACTAATAGTACGGAGTATAAATTACAGTAATTAATTAATCAATTATAACCATTTTCATTCATTACGGACGAGTATTTGATTTTCATATATACATACCGGAAGAAAAACAAGCCAGTTGTTGAGGGCATCTCCGGAGCCAGGGAGAAAGTAATAAGCTGCTCTGTTTCCCGTCAAGCAAACTAAACATGCATGCATTTGCACATACTGAAGAAGAAGAAGAAGAAGAAGAAGAGGAAGAAAGGAAATGGTATAGCAGATATAATGTATGTAGTACCAGCTTTCTTGTCGCGGAGGAAGGTGGGATTCACCAGTGTAGAGTTGTCTGCTTTCACGCTGGTTTGGAAGCAGATAATAATGCTAACAATTAGGACGAGTTGAAGAAGAAGCTTCATAGTGTTGTATTAGTTGCAGAGAGAAGAGATCAGATATGCTTAATTGTGGCTGGATGTGTGAGACTGTATGTGTATATATATAGAGTAACTTATAGAGAATAGCTGATGGAGGCCTTGTATCTTCTAAATTATTACAGTGCTTCTTATTACAAGGGCATATCGATAGAGGTCAGGATGGAAGCCAATGTGACAAGGCACGTTCGCAGTAAATAAACTCACTTTATGCATGTGTTGTGTGTACTACGTACATTCACCTATAATTTTATGGTCATATGCTCCATTATATTTTTTTCAAGTGCCTGATTCATTTATCATGCCCAATACTTGATGATTAATATCTTCTAAAATCTATATACTCCTTATTAGCAATAAATTATTAAAATGATATGCTAAAAGCATGTTTTTTGATACAAATATAATGGTAAAATTTTAATATTTTAATTCCACTATTTATTGTAATATATATTATGAGTCAAATATTTGACACAATAAAATGAACCGGACAATTTTTTAAAAAAAATTGAAGAACGTTGAAAATAGGAATCTCCCTAATTATGCATTTCTATTTCTTGGCCCAACAGTGTCAAGTAGCTCAAATCCCAGAGGAAAGAAAAAAGTTACTATTTTCAATGAAATGGGTGTGTACGCATTTGGACCTTGCTTCCACTTCTCTGCCAATATAATCATTCACCACAATTCAATGAAGGTAATTATTGTACCTACTATAGTATGGGTCTTCTAATACTCCGTATTTTTTACCTCCTTTTATCATCATTACACCAAGTCCGTTTTAGAAAGAGAGGGGGACCCATAATTTTAGAACAACTTTTTTACAACAAATGTTACAAGAATGCCTTTGACTCTTTGAGCCATCTGCAAAACTCCATTCGCAAAAAGGTTTACTATCACATTTGTTGTAAAAAAATGAATAAATTCCATAATTAATTCTTTATAACAAAGAAGTTTTAATATTTAATCTTCTATTATCAAATGTTACTTTCATAATCTTTCTTTTATGGGTGTCTTTCTACAAATGCACTTTTTTAAATCTTCTGTCATGTTGGTATTAATTTAAAGACTAAAAGTATAATTTAACATCAACCTTATGTCTAGTGACATATTTTCATGTTGGTCAGACAAATAACACAAAAATAATGACTTATTGTGAGCTACGATTCCGACGTACATTATGGTTGTAGTAAAAATGGACTAAAACTCACAAACGACGCATCAGGAGCGGCCTTTGAAATTATGTATTACAAGAAAGATATATTATCATTGTAAAATTACACTTTTACCCTTCCAATTAACACCAACATGATACAAAATGAAAAAAGGATAATATGTGGAAATATTCCCATAAAAAAAGGACTCATGTTATAAAAGACTAATTATGAAATTTACTCTAAAAAATTGTTGCATCTAATTTTAGTTTGCACTAACAAATACCTAAAGGACTAAAGTGTATGGACTTATTTTTTGCAGACCAAGAAAAGTTAAGATTAAATTTTGAATTTGTTGATAGATAGGGATTACTTGAGATAATTTCTACTTTTTTATCATTCTCTCCTTAATCCACAACAGAAAAAAATAGTACTATAGTTCCTCTCCAAAATGGCACTAAAATTTTTAGAGCGGTAATGTAATTATTTCCTATAAAAATTACACTCAAGAAAATATTGTGTGGAGGCTAAAATAATAAGTGTTGTTGTACTAAATTGAAAAAGTATATATCTTAAAAGAGAAATTACATCAAATAATTCCAAAAATGTATAGTATGAGAACAAAAAATGAATGAATTCAATACGTCTTGGGAAAAAATTGTGTTTAATGTTTACTCCGTCTGTCCCTGAGTATTTCTCTTCTTTTGACTTTTTTCGGTCGACATCGATAATAGTTTTATTAGAATTAGTATATCAAGTATTTTCAAAATATTATTTTATCTAATTAATATACAATAAATATTTTATTTAATTATATATCAAAGGCTGAAAACCGTTGATCGAAAAAAGTCAAAACTAGACAAATACTCATGGACGGAGGTAGTAGTTGATTGGAAAAAGTAGCCTTAGTAGAATTACTTAGGTAATTTAAACATTTAAGTTTATCACTGTTATTATTAAAAGTTAACTACGGAGAAGTAAAGATGTGCTTTAATTTTAAAATTTTAATTTCCACAACACAAAAGGTGTTCGAACATAATTGTGGAGGGTAAATGAGTAGTATATCTTACGGCTAAAACTCCCCTACAGCACACCAAATAAAAAAAACCATATAAAAAAAAGATCACCTGGAGCACAAGCATCTCCCCTGAGCAAGCGTCCGTAGAAGGAGCCCTACCATAGCGGTGTGAAGACTCGAACATGTGAAAGTACAAATAATGAAGCAACAATGGCAAAATACCTAGTAAAACCCCTCAAAATGAGGTCAAAGGAACTGTGAGTGTACGTAGATCTTACCCGTGCGTGGGAAGTAGAGAAGCTATTTTATGGAGAGCACACCCAGCTCAAAACACAAAAGAACTTGGTAGGAGTGCGCCGCTAATGATAAGCCATCTTTGTTCATCCATACATACATACATACACACATACATACATACATACATACATACTAGGTTGCACTGGGACGGGTGCGGGTACATATACGGGGACGGGGACGGATTCGGGAATCAGCATTTTTAAAAATTTAAGGATGCGGGGACGGCAAGGATTCGGCAACAAAAGATAATTAAAATATTAAATATAGGCATGTAAATGTTAAAAATACTAATACTTTACTTAATTAAACAATGCTCCAAACTCTAGTCAACCCAAATAATGTGAAAAAAAAGAAAGAAAAAAGAAGCAGCGAAGGAGTCTGCGGAATTAAAGTTTGGTAAAAAAGAAGGGGTAGGGTTGCTCTGCCTCTGGATCCGTAAAAAAAAGGGAATTAAAGAGTCGCAGCTGTAGAAGCAATCGGCAGCTGGATTGGTTCCTTTGGAAGAAGCAATCGGCGGCCGGGCAGTAGAGTAGAAGTCTGCGGATCCAGGTGCGTTTCCGGTACGCCAACTGCCGTCCCCGCCGGTGAATCCGCGCCCGCGACGATTCCGGTGCGGGAGGCGGCAGTGAAGACCCGATTCCGTGCAACCTAGCATGCATGCATGCATGCATGCATGCATGCATGCATGCATGCATGCATACATACATACATACATACATACATACATACATACATACATACATACATACATACATACATGTGTGTGTGTGTGTCTTATACGAAGTACTCCCTCCGTCCCACTCTTTTTGTCCACTTTCATTTTTGCACACCATCCAATGCATTTCTTTAATCCATTTTATCTTGTAATTTGTATATTAAAAAATTATAAAAATTATATATTAATAATTTATATGTTAAGACAAATCAAACAAGATCACACATGACTATTTTTAAACTTACACATTGAGAGAATTTGATAAGTCAAAGTGCTTAGATGAACAGTTCCAAAAGTCAAAACTGGACAAAAAGAGTGGGACGGAGGTAATACATTTTAAGGAAGCTTGATCGAGACAGAGAAAACTAAGAGAGAGAAGATAAGTTTAAGTCTATCAGGCTACACTTAAAGAAAATGGGCTACACTAAAAATTGGGTTTTTTCAAAATTTTAAAGAGGCACAAGGCATCAAGGCGAGGAAAGGCGATGCCTAGGCGAGCGCCTGATTGCCTTACGGATTTCTAGGCGAAGCGAGCAGACAAGGTGTCCCAGTGATAGCACCTTATCGCCTAGGCGACACCTTACAAACTATGCTTTAAAAAGGAATTATGGATGTTTAATTTGACCAATGGATCATTACTCCCTCCATCCACATTGAAAGGAATAATATGACTTTTGTGATACATCAAAATTTGAATAAATATTGGTATACATCATGTCATCATGTCTATATTTTTTCAAATGTTGATGTATTACAAAAGACCAAAAGTCATAATTGTTGGTTAAATGTAAATAGAGAGAGTAATAAATAAGCTTGAGCTCATTAAATAAATCCACACAAATAGTTTTTCTATTTATCAACCTATATAACTAAGGCATACCTCCTTCTAATGTCTGTGTTGACATTACTCATCTTTTCCGGCAGATTGTCATGCCATCGCCGATCGGCACCTAACAATAAAGAAGAGAAACACATTTAAGCTGGCACACAGAAATGTGAAACCCAGGGCAAGCTGCATATAGAGCAGAGTATCCTTCGCATCTTTACCATGCTGATATCTACACGTTTATCCTTAAACAAGCTCTCGTTGAAACTCCGAATGCTAACCGTTGTGGAATCATTTGCCTGCTCAAAAAAACACTCATGAGAACAACATATTTAGGACTTTGTTTTGGAACAAAGTTTGGGGTTAGCATTTTAGATAACTTTTTACAACCAATCCTCTATTCACACCAAGAACCAGTGTCATAATATGACACTGATCCAGTTGGGGATCCTATAGTTCTCCGTTTGATCCTGAACTGATTCCTACGCTTCACCCAATATGAGTGACAATCCACTATCAAATTTTTGACAACAAAGATTTGCTTTAACGCTAAAAACTATAACTAAAAGCTACAATTGGAAAATGTTTTCAAAATGTTGAACGGTTGAACCTAAACGTCAAAACTAATGCCAAAGAGAACCAAAGCCAGTTTATATCATAGGAAGGATTGGTTTTACCAATGTATCAGCAACTCTCCCATGCCAAAGCACATTGTCCACTACGATGACCCCTCCAACCCTTACCTGTAGATCCCAATATATAGAAGAAAAGTGTCAAGCCCTTTCTAGTTGCATTACATGTGCAATAATCCTCGTTAGGCATAGCTGAGTACATCGAATTTTATATAAGGCTAAGTATTTGGTAGCAACCATTTCAGTCAAATAGGTAAAGTAAAAAAACACTATCTGAATTCTTCTGATTAAGTAGAATAAGCCTTAGTAAATCCATATCACCGAATAAACAATTATGCAACTTACCAGCCTTAGTAGCAACTCAAAGTATTCATGATACATTTTCTTATCAGCGTCAATGAAAGCAAAGTCATAACTGCAAAAAGTACAAAATATGTCATCATTCTTAAGATGTGAATGAAGCCTCAATTTGCCCAATAGTTCAAAAGAATTTAAACCAGACACCTTTATTTGATTTCTGTTTCAATTGAAAAGGATCAAACAATTTCTTCAAAATAAAAAGTAAAAAAAACTACTTTTAGACTATGAATACCTGCAACCTTCACCATTATGAATCATAGAGTGTAGAGTATCAGCTGCTTTGCCATGTCTCACATCCACCTAATATCATTTTTTATGCCAATAACTTTATCTATAATAGCATACACTATTCACAAAAGATTTATAATAATAATAATAATCATAATCACCTTGCTAGATACACCAGCACGGTCATAATATCTCTTTGTAACCTCAATTGATTTTTCATCTCTCTCGCAAGCAACTAGGCATCCTTGCTCCGGAAGAACTAAAGCAACTGCCAATGACGAGTATCCCTGGACAGAGAAAATTTAATAAAATAACTGAATAAGTGGCAAATATTGAAACCATCATCATCAACAGAATGGAGTGCTCATAACAATCTGATTATTACTGTTTTTGAAATGTTATAATAAGGATAAAAGAGAAAATGCATCAGTTCAGTAATGTGACGACTAATATGCCATTTGGTCCCAATCAATGTTTCAATATCAGTTGACCTTTAAATGATTTTCAAGAAACTATAGAACCATTATGATCATTGCAAAAAGAAAAAGAAAAAAAGATGCAGCTATATCGATATACTCTGCAGAATGAAATCAAGCACTCTTGTGAACTACAGCGGATTTTTTGATGAACAATCACTAATCAAGAAAATGTTGATCAATAATCAAACTAAATGGATCTGAATGCATACGGTAAAGATGCCAACTTCAATACATCTTTGTGCTCCTTGGATCTGGACAAGCATTGCAAGAAGTTGTGCTTGATCAGGGGAAACCTATATATCAGTAAACCAAAAACCACTCATTCAATAATATCAGCACATTCCCAGGAATCAGAAATAAAGTAAACTATTCATGGATTTATCAAAAGAAGTAAGTGAAATCATAAACAGGATGTGACAGACTGCTTACTTGCATTTGACTACCCCGAAGCGTGGCAGTTTCCTCCCTAAGTTCACGCAAAATCTGAAAGCAACACAGAGCATATACTCCATATTAGATACTCTCTTGGGAAAATAAATCTCTCCTAAGTCCAAATTCATGAGCTTGTATAAGCAATTGCACTGTTTCCCGTGCACTCACTAGCACGCACAACATGGGGAAATGTGCAAGACGAATTTCACTAGTACATATTAGCTCAGTTAAGTTTTTGAATATGAGAATACCCCATTCCATCCGGACACATTCTCTCATTAGTGTAGAAGCCTTCCTTGAATTCACTCTCCAAACTAGCAGATAGGCTGCTCTCCCTCAAAACTTAATGAGTGGATTTACGAATCTCTTATTAGTAACCACTCAAGCATATGCTTGTGGAGTGAAATAATCCCGAAATTCAAAGTCAAGTGAACTTCTAATATGCGTATTAAAAAACCGTTTTACACATTTCACTATATGATATAAAAAGACACTTTCTAATATTGAGCTTTTGTGAAAGAGTACAAAAGCTTATAACCACAAGAGAGGATGACTTTCCAATCAATCTCCTAATAATTTACTATGTATTTAGCAAGATGATCACCTCTGGTTCTCTAACATTGCCGAGCAGGTATTCATAGAGCTGTGGAGTGACACTTATGACCTGTTTGCCACCATAATTTACATTGTCAGACACAACTGTATAGGTTTCGCGTTTCCCTGCCCGAATCCTATGGTTAGGCACTGCAGTCGTGACAGATGCACGCCTCTTGATAGGAAACAATCCTGCAAATCCATTGCTGAGGGAATGGACACGGCAGGAGTTCAGTCCAATTCGAGGTCCGAATATAAAGCAATGGTTTTTGAAAATGTGAGCCGGCAACCAGATTGACATTAGAGAATCGATCAATGGAGCGAAATCCCGTTGGAAGTATATAATCTGCAAGCATGTTATTCTTATGGTTCCAAACGATGTGTGGTATCAGAAATTAAAGTTGATGCTACAAAAGGAGTGCGGAGAATTCAAAATACTGACATGGGCCTTTGTTGGTTGGGAGCTTCTCCTGTTTAGAACCGGTGCTCCGATTACGGAGTGATGGAGAAAGTGGCGGCGGATATGGGCCGGAATTCAATGAGCGGCGGCGGATATGTGCAAGAATGCAATGAGCGGCGGCGGAGATGGCTGAGACAAATCGGACTGGATTTTCTGGGCGGGTGAGACCAAAGCAAGCAGCGGGTTAGGGACTGTTAGGGTGCTGTGGAATAGGGTTTGTTTAAATTTTGAATAGGGTGTGCCTGCAGCTTGCTTATATGCTCCCTCCTTTTTAAATAAATACACTTGTAAAATTGATTGTTCCTATATTCCGGTAGACCAAACATATCCCGCCCCGACCAAACATATGCTCACCCCCTTTAATTGTACCCCTAAATTAATTTTGATTTTGAAATAAAATTTTGACTTAATCAAAATTAACTTGGGTGATGGGTGCAATTGAAGGGAGTTGGGGTGTGTTCGGGTCGAAGTGGGGTTGGAGGGTTTTCAGGGGGTTAGGTGGGGGTAAAAACCGTAAGTTTTACAAACGGGACATCGGAACTTAGTCGAGTTATCTCATCACATTGTCGAACAATGTCATAAGAATCGGTCCGTCACAAGTATTACTGAGTAAATGAGTAAAAAGACTAAAATAAAAGTAATCCGTGAAACATTAAAAATAATTACTACGGAGTATATGATAGTGTAAATTATCGATCGGTATATCGTTTTTAGCCCGGCAAAAACGATAAACTAGTCTAAAAAATACACCAAAATATATACACGGGATTTTTACGTGGAAACCCAAATCGGGAGAAAACCACGAGCCTCTTTTGGCGGTACTTTGCCAACGGGGAATTTTTATTAATATCGGAGGTGTGTACACGGTACATGATTTAGGTGTAAAATTCATTAATGGAGCATTTGAGCTCTTTGAAGAAGTAAAGTACAAAAATATTCTAGAGAGAGAGAGAGAGTAAATGGGTAGGGAAGGAGTTTGATTGGCCTCCTTTTCTTGGTGGAATACCTCTCCTTTTATAGGAGGGAGGGAGAACATCTTCAGAGGAATATTCTCTTATTCTTTCATTTTACGAACAGGCTATTCTTCATAAATAATTCCGAAATGTGGACCAGGCCACGTATTATTTGTCATCACTGTAAATATAAGTTTTATGTTTTTATTTTTAAACTAGCAGTTAAATTACATTATATTATCAATCATTAATATATACATTATTAAAAAAATATTATAAAATGTTTATATAAAGTACCACATTATTATAGTGTGAACTATTTTAGAAATAAAAACATTAATGTACTATTTTGATACTTTCTTATTTTTACTCCAAATCTATGTAGGGTGATTTCTTTTAAATGAACAATTTCAAAATTTAGTATGTATCTAAATTTTAATTTTTATATTTTTAAGGTTAAAAATTATCAATTTCACCATGATAGAGTTTTTTTTGTCAAATAACAATGTGTTTTTAATCATTATAAACAAACTTGTCTAAGCATAACACAAATACATTGTAGAGTTAGAATTAGTTTTAAAATAAAGAGTTTTATACTTAGTTTTTTATTGCCAGCCATTGCGTTTGTGTTGTTGTGTTAATGATAGGGGTGGACACAATTCCGGTTCTGAAACATGTGCTAGCGACGGAGACGCGACGGCAAGTAAGAGAACTGACACCAGAACTGGAGGACACGGGTCCAGTTCTGGGTGGTAGGGTGGCAATCCTAGAACTACCTATTCTAATTCGGTTCCAATTCCAATTTTTTTTATTTGTATTTGATTAGTTAGGCCCACGGCCCACCACTAAATTAAAGCCAAGAGGTTGGGTAGACCCGATGGCATTTAGTCATTTGGAGCCGTTGGGACTAGGAAAGGGGTGGGGGTGGGGCGTTATTTTTTCTATAAAACTCTTTTTAAAAAATACATACTACTTAAACTTGCTTATTTCTTTCAACTCCATCCAATTTCTACTAAAATCTAACAACGACTTAAAAAAGTATTTTATATAATTATATGCGATTATCATACACTGACAATAAATATTCAAAATTACAATATCACTTCAAACACGTAAAGTAATGAATAATTTTTTATCCAAATGTAAAGTTTTTTTAGATATTTATTAGGGTTATCATTTAATTGATTGATTTTTCAACACTTTAATTTTTCTAAATTTTTCTAACTCATTCAAAAAAAAATCAATCTTTTGAGTTTCTTCTAATGTGGAATTTTAAAATTCCAAACCAAAAGAATATAGCATGGGACTAAACTAGAGGTTATTTTTGGAGAAGTAATTTTCTTTCTTGAAAAAACGACCGCCTTTTAATCCTTGTGTAGCCTTGAGAAAAATGCAGGGGTTTTGGAAATTTGGCCGTCTGGTTAGGGTTCCAAGAGACAGATCTTCAGTCCTGTTCAATACCGAACAACTTCGTGCCGTTGATGTTTCTTGTTTCTCGCTGCAATGGCGCTACTCTCACAGGAATCTGGTTTCCTCATCATGCTCAGGTTTGGTTTCTCATGTTTACTTTTGTTGCTATAATGCTACCTGATTGGTAAAATTTCAGTGAGTCACATTGGTTGTTAAATCGAAAGTATAAACTGGAGTGCAATTGGAAGGAAAAAAATGCAGATATTTGTTGGGGATTTTATTTGCAAATGGTCATTCTGTTCGCTGTCTCGATACTGTTTTACTATAGTCTTGGTTTAAATCCAATAAAAGGCTTATTTGTTTAGAAATGAATTTAAATATAAAAGTTAGTATACTGAAAGGAACAATAAGTGTGTTGCTTAAATCTGGAAATTAACTTCATATTAAACCACATGTAATAGATAAATACTATGTTTTCCTTTTCTTGTTTATGGCTCACATCTCACAATAACTATTCTCTGTTTAATTTATTCTCTGCAGCCTGTAGTCACATTTTTCTTTCATTATATTCTATAGAGCATCCATCTCAAAAGAATTAGTATTAAGAGAAGAAATACCACATACTAAAAAATAAGAAAGCTTTTATTGACAGTGGAAGAACAAATAAGAGCTTCCCAGGAGACCTTCTAGCAACATAACATGCCCAACAGGATTATTCTACACAATAGCTACGGCTGCTATGCTATTCCTATTCAAAACCCTTCACCATTCTTTCTCTGAAGGGAGTTCTATTATTAATCTTAAAACATCAAAAATGAAGGCTATTAATAAATTAAATATCATTAAAGGTTTGGTAAGATATCTAAAATTTTGATAATAAGATCTAAAATCCATGCTAATGATATCTTCAATTTGCTCCCTAATTCATGTGAATAACTTTCATCGTTTGGTATCATTACCACCCACTCCTTAGCAACCTTGTCCCCACAGCGGGAGGTTTGTGGTTTGCCATAGTGGCTGGTCGGACATATTTGATAGAGAGTAAAGAGTAGAAATGCCATATCCTAAGAAATACAAATGGTTGTATTGCCGGTGGAAAGAAATTGAAATGCAAAAGAACGTCAAAATGGGTTCAATATCTTTGCTATTCCTAACCAGAATTCTCTTCTCTTCCTCATAGATGGGTTCTATTTATAGTCATAAAACATAAATTACATAAGGTATGCAATAAAGTAGTAAATATCAACCAGAGAATTATTATATACCTAAAGTTGCACTCTGGAGATCCAGAGTTTATGCTGATGAGATCCCCAAATCGCCCCTAATTTCTCTGACTATCTTTCCTTTTCTATCAAAATATATGGTGCAATAAGATTTACTAAAGTTGGCATTATGGAACAAACAGCTTTGTATGGGAATCCAATGCAAATGGAATCAAAATGCCAAAGAGTGGTGTCATCTTTGAAATGCCATGTGCTGCAGAGGTCGTCATATTCTTCTAAAGCAATTGATGTTGGAAGTGGCTCTACAGGTAATAATTGTGTCATAAATGGTTTTAAGTTTTTTTTTGTTTTTGTTTTTGTTTTTTTGTTGAAGAATAGTTGGTTTAGGTCATTCAGCTGATTGCTAGTAGTGTTCCAAATGCAGAAACTGTGAAGGAAATATATGAAAAGATTCTGAAATCTATTGTGGATCAAAAGACGGCTCCTCCAAATGCTTATTTATGGTCACTAATTGCAAAATGTGCAAACCAAGATGACATTAAGCTCCTATTTGACATCTTGCAGAGACTTCGAATATTTGTTAGTTACTCTTTCATTACCTGTCGTTTGACTGGTGCCTCTACCTTCGGGTCCAATTGACTGTTCAATACTATGTTCATGCAGAGACTTTCAAATCTTTGTATCCATGAAAATTTCTTTTGTGCACTATGCCAGGAAGTTACCAAGGCATGCATACGTGTTGGCGCCATTACGTTTGGTATGAATATCTGCATGTAAAGTTATGCCTTTAGCCATGAACTTAAGGGCTCTGTTTGAACTTTGGAGACAATTTTCTAGAAGTGTCATGTCTAACCTTGTATTGTGCAGGTAAAAGAGTATTGTATAAGCACAATCTCTATGGGTTAACTCCTAATGTTGGATCTGCTCACCAATTGTTGGTATATACAGACATTTGCTTCTATGATGTTTCATATTATATGTGAATTATGTAAAATATAAATTATCTACAAATAGCTCAAGCTATGTAGTTTGAATGTACGTACATATGCAGACACATTTATATAATTATTTATTCATTTATTTAATGTGAGTGCAGCATTAAAAAAAAAGTGCAAATTTCTTATTTATCCATACATAGTTAGATTTGGTTTACGTGACTGCAGGTGTTTGCTAAAGAGCATAATGATGTTGATCTAATGGTCGATATTATGAAACTTGTGTTGAAGAATGAATTACCTCTACAGCCAGGGACAGCAGATTTGGTTTTTAGGTACATAACAATAATTCATATTTCCAACCTCCATGCACATCTTTCCCATTCTTCTGGTGCTCAAAGCTCATCTATATTTCTTTTTATAGTTCCAAAGGTGCCCATTTTTTGAATTTTTTGATGTGAATGGACTTTGCTAAATTTATACCTCTCCATTTGTTATGTGTAAAGCAAAATGAAAGTGGAACATATTTAGTTACAAAGAACGCTCAAGACTCATAGTTTCCCCTGTTGAATATGGCTATTTGCAGCATTTGCTACCACAACGATAACTGGGAGTTAATGTGTAAATATGGAAAAATGTTTGCCAAGGGAGGTGCTAGGTTACGCTAGGGTTCCTTTGACTTGTGGATGGAATTTGCTGCTAAAATGGGTACTTGCAACCTCAATGCATATAATTTTCCAGTCTAATGCTTAAAGAATGTAGTAAAAATGTGTACATTCTTGTGCATCTTTCATTGATATAATAAATATCTTTATTGTCCTCTGTAGGAGATGTCGATTCACTTTGGAAAATTGAGAAAATAAGATCAGAATCCATGAATCATCACACTATTTCGAGTGCCTTTTCATGTGCTAAAGTAATTGCTTATCCACCATCATCCCTAATCCAACTTGTATCATATGTCCTCTCTACATGCTTCCTCTTCTTTTTTTACCCATTTTCTGAAAAGATATGTAAATAAATTGCTTCAGAAGTGCACACACACCTATTATGTATTCCACAGGCTTTGTTGATTGAATGCAAATCTGAAGAAGCTGCTGCTATCATTCAAGTATTTTATGAGGTAGCTAAATAGTAAATACAATCTGAATGGTTTTAAGGAAATCTGTCTCTTCTTGTTCCGCTCAATCTTCTCAATTTTTTTCAACATATTTCCCTGTAACTGAATGTGAACAGTATTTTTTTGTCGTTGCTAATCTCATCATTCATTTTTTTCCCTAACATATTCTTACAATGCTGTATGCACATATCAGAATTTACCCGTCTCTAAGAGGCAAAGCATTACAGCAGAACTTCAGAAGCTGGTAAATGAGTGGCCTATAGAAGTTATAAAGCGTCAAAAGGAGGAGAGCAGAAAGGTAAACCTGCTTAATAATGTGTTTTCTTTGAGCAGATTTGGCAAATGTGGTCTCATGGAAATGCCATTTTGTTCTGGTGTCCTCCAGGAATTGGCGAGAACTCTACAAAATGGTATTTCGGCCATGATCAACGCACTCTCAAGCATAGGCGCAAAAATGGATGTCAATGTGGAAAGTGTGACCATAGGTGTGTAAAACTAATTACAGTAGAGGAAGACTTCCAAATGGGATGATGGAGAAGTGGCAGCTACTCAGAAGTGTATCCTCTTTGGTGTCTATATGTGACAACATTTGTCATTGTTAAATTTTTTATTAGAGGCTTTTTATGAACCAGACAAGCTTCTTAGCTTGACTTTTCTTGAGTAAACAAATTTTAATTATTAATTATGTTAAATATATATTTGATAAAATGAGATAAATTATTGAAAATCAATATCCTTTGAATGAACAGAAGAAATTACTGAAAATTACTTTTCCACAAAGAATCTCTCATTTAGTCCTTTTACTTGCAAGTTGCAATTGCTTACTTCCACCATCTTTCCTTCCTTGGAATAACTTGCTTACTTTTCCACAAAGAGCTCTCAATAATGGCTTGGGACGTGTTTCTCTCTCTAGGCGCTGGGCAGCCCCTCGCGGCACTGTTCATCCCTTCTTGGATGGAAAAAGGCTGCTTTCTTGCTGGTTTGGGACTGCCTAAGGGTCCATCTTCTTGGTCCCTTTGTGAGCCATGAATTGGCCGTGTTTGGTAGGGAGCAGGCTGCACTGTGGTTCGGTGGTGCAGATTCACCACCCTGTGGTGGGTTTGCTGGGTGTGCGGCTGCTTGGTTTGGGTTTCTGACTGTGTCTTTGAAACTGCTGTACCTTGTGCTATTAGCTACTTTAATGGGAAACCATTGTTGAGCCTTGGGCTCCAATGCTTCAACACCATTAAAAGGGATGGATTCGATGTAACCCCCTGGTGATTGAAATATGTTTTAACCATATAAGTTGCTGATTTGGGCAGGGGCTGAGGCAGTTTCATGTGGCGCATCTGTGGAAGTGGCTTCAGGACTTCACCACCCCGGTTACGCTGTGACCTTTTGGGGAGGAGGAGGACATATGAATGGCTGCTCCCACCTTCTCTTCTTTGACCTTGATTTTCTTTGTTGGGCAAGTTTTTGGCATGACCTTTGTGATCTCATACCCGGTCTATTGTGGGATACTAGTACCATACGTCATGCCGTTGTTGTACGGCTGAGGCTTCCTCTGGCGTTTTGGCAATGGTGGCCCCTTGGATTATGGGCACGATATTTCAAAATTGGGGGTGAACTTGAGGATCCTAGCAATGCTGAGGGATATGTTGATGCAGTGGCAGGCATTAACGCTTGTGACCCTCCCGTTTTGGTATCTTGACGATCAGCAAAGCTCTCATGACCACGGATGCTTGATTGTTCCAATGATGAAGGATTCCATACCTTCGGAGGATATTTTGGGGATTGATGCATGTTGATGAGGACAGGCCTTCAGCTCTCAACCCGGTGGTGCCTACCTTCGGAGTTTGATGACGACGGACCTACCTTTTGATGTTCCTTTGCGGATGACGACGCATGAAGACGAGGATGGGCCTTGGCGATGGTGACAATCACGTTTCTTTGTGATGTACATTTATTCCCTTGTGCTTGTACTTGTTTATTCATGTCTTGTTGATTGGGCGTGCGTGCCTTTGGCGTGTGTGCCACTCTTTCTTTGATTTTATAGGGGTATGCTCCGATGCATTGTATGTTTACTTCGTGGATGTACTTTGGTACTATGTACTCCATATTACTGCGATTTGACTATTTTAGTCAATGTGTTTTTACTTAAACAACAATTTTTGAAAGGGTGTTGTTAAATCCACCCCTATTTGGCTAAATCAACTCCTTTTATATTAAATGGATAATTTTGTCCTTAAATGGTGGGTTGCATCTAAATATCTTCTTTTGTACTTTTAAGGGTAAAATTGAATACTACCTCTGTCCCGCTCTCTTTGTCCACTTTTGACTTTTGGAATTGTTCATTTAAGCACTTTGACTCATCAAATTCTCTCAATGTGTAAGCCTAAATATAATCATGTGTGATCTTGTTTGATTTGTCTTAACATATAGATAATTAATATATAATTTCTATAATTTTTTAATATACAAATTACAAGATAAAATGAATTAAAGAAGTGCATTGGATGATGTGTCAAAAAGTAAGTTGACAAAGAGAGTGGGACGGAGGGAGAATTTGTTAGAAATGAAGTTAATTTAACAAAAACGGGAGTTTATATAGTAACTCTATTTGAATTTTTCTAGTGCACATATTATTAAAAGAAAACTCTAAAATTAACTTTGAATATGATACAAAAAGTATTTTATAAGGAAAGTAGAAAATAACTTTTAATTAAGCATCGTAAACTGAAAGAAATGATTTAAATTGGAACGGAGGCGGTATTAAGATATTAATTTTCAATTTACTTTAATTAAATTTGGGAGGCAAAACACTACCAACGCTAGCTTCAACTATTTCTAATATTAAAGGAAGGATAACAACATCAGCACTTTGTGTTATACGGAGTAAGTTACATGTAAGCTATGTACTCCGTAACAACTAGTATTTCTGCCCGTGCTATGCATGGGTTCGGACAAATTTTTTTCCCCGATTATACAATATGAATCTTGATTTTTATTTTGAACATTATTCTAAGCTCAAATATAAATGATCTAGGTTTGATGTATTTCTAGAAATCTATAATTTTTCTCCATGTATAAATTCAAAAATATATTAATACAAAAAGTAATAGTGATCCAATGATTCTTTTTCCTCACATTAATTTAATAAACCTAAATTACCGACATTATAATTATATACTCCCTCTGTCCCTGAGTATTTGTCCACTTTTGACTTTTTTATCAAAATTGGTAATAATATAGTGATATTAGATATTGTTACAAAATTAGTTTTATTTGATTTATTATATTATTCATTTTTTTCACCAGGGGTCTGCCCTTAGCCCTTTTTTGTTCGCCTTGGTGATGGACGTCCTAACTCAAGGTGTGCAAGAAGGGGTCCCATGGTGCATGCTTTTCGCGGATGATATTGTGCTTATCGACGATGCACGTGAGGGACTAAACGATAAGTTGGAACAATGGCGCCTTGCCCTTGAGACTAAAGGGTTCAGAATAAGTAGGAACAAGACTGAATACATGTAGTGTCGTTTCAACGGCAGAGAAACAGAATCAGAGGTGGAAGTTAGGATTGACTCTCACCTAGTACCTAAGGTAGACAGGTTTCGATATCTTGGCTCGGTAATCCAGGCTGATGGGGAGTTAGACGGGGATGTTGGACATCGTGTTGGAGTGGCTTGGGCCAAATGGCGGTTGGCTTCAGGGGTATTGTGTGACCCGAAGATTTCGCCCAGGATGAAAGGCAAGTTCTACCGATCCGTAGTCAGACCTGCTATGTTATATGGGGCAGAGTGTTGGGCGGTTAAGAAGACTCATGTGCGTCGTCTGCATGCGGCGGAGATGCGGATGTTACGATGGATGTGTGGGAAGACAAGGTTGGATAGGATTTCGAACGAAGTTATCCGACGTCAGGTAGGCATGG